AAGAGAGGTATCAGGGGAGCTGGAATGGAAAGGTAGTACAGATCCAGTGGAGACAGCTGCCTAATTGACAGCGGGCATGCTGATGCATCAGATGATTTTGATGGAAATAGCGTAGTTCATTTTGGAGTTTCTAATGAAAATAAGTGGTAAGTAAGTGTTGTTCCCCTTGCCCCCCCAAACTGCCTCCTTCCCTTGAGGGACAGTGCTGGGTACTTGAAACAGTGTAGAGTCTTCCATGACCAGTGAATGTCCCCTTACCATCTCCCTCTGCAAATATGCATCATGTAAACTGGAGAACAAAAAGCCAGACTCGAGCATTTGTCAGAAGCTGATAACAGCCAAGTAAATGATGATGCTTCAGACTGAATGTTGAATGTCCTTGGGTTTTCTTGCTTTGGTTGACAGCACTTTATGTTCTATTTAGAAAGTAACTCTCTGAACTTAAAAAAAAAAAAAAAAAAAAGCATTTCCCTTAAAATATTTCTGGGTTGGAGTAGTCTGCCTTGATGAATTCTGCACATGAATCAACCTCTTTGTAACCTATGTTACAGTAAGAATTTTAGGAATTTCCTTTATTAGGACCCGTTAGTGTACTGTAGCCAGTGAGCGAGCTGCACAGATTTCTAGGTAAAGCAGCTTGAAATTTTATAGCGCATGCTATAGCGTTCTCTATACTCTCTTTTCAGTAAGCAAAGTTTAAATATCCTGAAATTGGCCTCTTGTCACTCTCTTGTCAACTAATTCATTGTTTGCTGCGGTGGAGGGTGGAAAACAATGAGTTGATTTTTAAACCTTATTTTCAGGTTAGTCAACTTCCACTGATGGCATGTTGAAGTTTAGTGAACAGCAGCTGAGCGGGTGTGTGACTGGAAGGGGACTGCTCTAAAAGCTGGGCTTGCAGCAACATGGGCCAGTGTGTCACTAAGTGCAAGAACCCTTCTTCCACCCTTGGCAGCAAGAATGGAGAGAGGGAGTCCAGCAGCAAGTCGCACAGCAAAAAAAGTGCAGTCCACAAGGAAGAACACCCCTCAGTATGTGGGAAATCCTCTGGGGATATACTTGTCAACGGGACAAAGAAAATGGATGCTGCTGTAGAATCTAGTCAACCTCCGACTTTCTCTGGTGATGTAAAGAAAGAGCCTGTTTCTGGTGCAGAAGAGTCTTCACTCCAAAGGATCGGGGAGTTATTTAGGAGATATAAGGATGAACGTGAAGATGCCATCCTGGAAGAAGGCATGGAACGTTTTTGCAATGACCTCTGTGTTGACCCCACTGAATTTAAAGTGCTAGTCTTGGCTTGGAAGTTCCAGGCAGCTACCATGTGCAAATTTACAAGGTTAGTTCCTATTGCACTTCACATTTTCAAATGTATCTGATCTTGTATGTGCTAGAGCGAAGCCCCTTTGGCCTTCTTTGCCCTTGCCTTTTGTCAGTTAAAATTTGAACAAAGGTGTTCTTGGCAGTGGCAAAGAAGTGGCATTGTCTTGAACGTGCCTCTGTGCTTGGAGGCATGCTGTGCTATAGCAGTAGACCTTCTGAAAAGTATGTTGGATATATCTGACCATCAGTTTTTACTATCTCCAGTAGCATCCTAATAGCAATGTCGGGCACTGAAACTAATTTCTACATTTTCAATACAAATAAGAGATGGGTTATGTCTTTAACCTGCCACTGACTAACCATTGCAATATTTGTCATTATCTTCTGATGAGCAGAATACAGAGTGATCTTGTTTTCTAAGCGAGACTGAGGCTGCCAGTGTTTCTTGGAATTTAATTTGCAAAAACGCCAGTAATTTGGGTAAAACACTTTTTTGCTTTTTGCATTTTCATGTAGCAGCAGTGATACTCTTCAGAACTGTGTATACAGCCATGCTGGAATAACCCTTCTCTGGGGTGGATGGTGACAGTCAGATTTTATAATAAACTTGATAGTGTTGGAGAGAGAACCTCCCCCAAGGGCATGGGACAGATTCCTAATTACAGAAAAAAAGATGAAGCTCATTCCTCACCCCCCCGCTTCTCCTCCCTCTCCCATGTACAGGCAAGAACAGATGGGTCCTCCCTTAAGAGTCTTATCTACACTTCATGAGAGAGGATGAAACTTGTATTCTGATGAACAGAGATCTGATTTGATGAGTTATGTAACTTTACTCACAGCAGGCATGATTTCAAAGGATTTCCATTCTTTTTCATAACAGTACTAGTCTGGGTCATATTAGATGGGTGGCTGTCAGCTAGGGTGCTGTAGGTGTCCCAAATGACTACAGCACGTGTGTGCCCTCCTGCCTGCATTGGGGTGCTCTGATGATGACCCCAAAGCAGGCAGGAGAGCTGGCTGGTGCTACGGTGATTCCTGGTCTGCCTTCTCCCCCATGCTTATCGCAGAGGTACGGGGAACAGTTCCACCTGTTGCGTGTGCCTATTCCTGGGAGATGCCCTGCAGGCTCAGATCAGAGCCAGCTGGTGCTGCAGTCCTTCCTCCTGCCTGCTTTGGGCATATAGGAGAACCCTAATGGCAACAGGAAGCACCTGCTGCAGCCTTCCTGACTGTGTGGCAGGCATACAGGGCACTTTCACCTGGTCGTGGTGGCAGCGCCAGCACCCAGGCTGAGAGCCATCTAGTTGAGGCAGTGGATTTCAGTCCAGAGGAGCCATGCGGTGTAACTGAAGGAGATTCATACAAAATCTCATTCATTACAGGACATTAAACAAATTCTGTATTAAATCCCCAGGCAGATGCAGTTAGCTCACTGTTTAAACAAGCAGAGCTATAGACACAGTATCCCAGATTTACTAAGGTTTGGTGTGTTGTTTTTTTTGTTTTTGTTTTTTTAAAATCTGATCAAAGTCACTAACAGTTTAAAAAAAAAAAAAAAAAAAAAGAACACTGCACGGAATATCGGCTTTTAACTCATATGCTGCTCTGTTCCAGCTGATTTAAAAACTGTAAGTCCTAGTTGGAGAGAAGGATCTTGAACAGCTGCAAAGCAGGAGAGAGAATAGTATTGGTTTAAGGCTGGCTGATTTTAAGATATTTTGGTCAATCAGGTTCACCTCCCCCTTTCTATGCCTCAGTGCACTTTCTATAGGAAACGCATGAAGCATATTGCAGTAGTTCAGTGGTTTTCAGCTAGGGGTGCTGCCACATTCAAAAAAAGTTGTGGCGGGTGTGGCTGGACTCTAAAAAGGTTGAGAATCGCTGCATTGGAAATTAGAGGTTGGACTTCCCTTTATAGCAATACCAACAAGGTCAGACTTACCCTTACTATTCTGTCCAGAGAAGAAATGGCATTCCCAAGTGTGAAGGCCTTCCTCCTCCTAATGGAAGGCAGATTTCCTCTTAGCATGTTTTTCAATAATTCACTAAACAGGGTGAAATAGCACAGGGGTGGGAAGAGAAGGTGCCTAAATTCCCTGGAATGTCAGATCCTGAATCTAGCCATAGTTAATTCAGCCCTTTGTCCATTGTGCCATGTGCAAAGAGGGGGTAGGGGTTTGTGGGGGTTTTTTGTGTCTTTTTTGTTTTTTTGTTATCTCTGCCTGGGAGCTTAAAATCCCCATTCCTCTTATGAAAAGTAGGGATTTGTCCTGGTGCTGTCACTGAATTTTGTGTTGTGTGCTCTATTTTAAATGGTTGCATCTGCCTCTTCAGAGGTGGCAGTGCCTTACTGATGCTGCTCTATATTCTCTTAGCATGGATTGTGCACGGGAATTTGAGAAACTGCAGAAATAGGCATCTTGTGACAAAGTTGCTTCATGAGCACTCTTCATAATGTGCTTTTAGCAGATTCTGCTGGGGCAGCGTATAGCACCTAACGTCATGCTTGGCACTTAATTTGTGATTGAAACACTTTGTCCCCTGCCTGCTTGCTTCCCCCAAAATAAGTGGGCAGGGAGATGGCCCCTCTCTTGTAGGATTAAGGATTCTCCTCGGTTTTGAATTCCCGAGCCTTAAATGCAATCCTCCTATTAATTTAAAACCCTTGACTATGTGCATGCCTTTTTTACTGGCATGATGGCTGTGGGGAGAGAGTAAGGGAGGAGGTGTAACAAGGCTTCTACAGGGTTTCAACTGACCATTAGGATGTCTCCATTCAGGAGTATTTTAATACTCCTAGCTATCCACTGATGAGGGGGGTCTCCCATGTGGCAGAAGGTTACATGCCATCTGCCTCGGCTTGGATGAACTGTGGCTCCAAGTACAACTTTGATTTCTGGTTTAAACGGAATGGGAAGATTGCACTGCTAATCCCACCCCCAAACTAAAATCCTAATGTCCGATTGTGGCTGCTTGCTATCATGAAACTTAATCATGGGCACTGGGAAGCTCAAAGGGATGCGTATCCGGAGCCCTTTGCCTTTAGACGATCAGGTTAAAAATGGCCTCCGATTCTCATGCTTGAAAACTAAGTGTATGTGGTTGTCCAGTTGCCTATGTAAGTTGATGTGACTGATCATCTTCTGATCAGTCTTGGAAGGTGACCTTATCGGTCATCATGATTGCAAGACGAGGCTGCCAGTTTTGGCAGAGGACCCAAAGGCTGAAGGACCAACGCAGTTGAACTACTGTCTTGCCCCTTGAAGATGCTGCAGTGCAGTGTTTCGACACCTAGGGTAGCTTAAACTGATGCTGCCTGTTCTGTACTTTTTTTTGGGGGGGGGAAGAAATGAAGCTTTCAAGCTCATCAGTCTGGCATTTTTCCAGTACTAAATTCTCTTAAAAATAGAGAGGCCCAGTCGGTCAGTAATGAAGGGCACAAAGTATACTGCCTTTCAGATGTTAATGGCATCTCAGTGGTACAGACTTTTAAGTGTGCTGTGAATTTGTATTCAGAAGCAACTAGAAACTTTTTTGAATTTGCCTTTCACCCTGAACAAGCTGTTTAGCAGCTTTTGGTACCAAGTTGTAAATACTTCAGAGGAGAAGTAGAGGATGCTGAATTTTGCAGTACTTAGTTTGTGCTATGCTGACTTTATCACAAGAAGCCATTTGCGGGAGGGTGCTTTGTTTATTCTGTGTAGCTGTTAACAGATATTCTCACTAAAGGTTTTTGGGCTTTTTTGTTCGTTTGTTTTTGCTAATAGGAAGGAGTTCTTTGAGGGCTGCAAAGCAATAAATGCGGACAGCATCGATGGCATTTGTGCTAGGTTCCCCAGCCTCTTAAATGAAGCCAAACAAGAAGATAAATTCAAGGATCTCTATCGTTTCACCTTTCAGTTTGGCCTGGACTCTGAAGAAGGACAGAGGTCGTTACATCGGGAAATAGCCATTGCCCTTTGGAAGTTAGTTTTCACGCAGAATAAACCCCCTATATTGGACCAGTGGCTAAACTTCCTAATTGAGAACCCCTCAGGAATCAAGGGAATCTCCCGGGACACGTGGAACATGTTTCTAAATTTTACTCAGGTGATTGGACCAGATCTTAGCAACTACAGTGAAGATGAGGCCTGGCCTAGCCTCTTTGACACCTTTGTGGAGTGGGAAATGGAACGAAGGAAAAAGGAAGAGGAAACCAAATGTATTACATCTTCAGACACGGAGGGTCTGTGTCCAGAAGAACAGACTTAACAGCATTTGCGCAGCAGTGACACAACCAGCCTGTTGCCCTTTTGTTTAGTGTAAACTCTGGACCTTTCTGGAAATTACTGAGGCTCCAGATTTTTCTACTTTACACCTTTCTCTGCCTTGTATTCGAAAGGGCTCTAAAATGCTGTATCATGTTTTAGGCACTTTCTTAATTTTGGTTATTCCTTTTACTCTTGTCCTGAAATATTTGACCCTGGCTACAAGTTAAACAGTTGTGGGGGTTTTTTGTTTTGTGTTTTTTGTCTTTTTTTTTTTTGTTTTGTTTTTTTGTTTTTGTTTTGTTTTGTTTGTTTTTAAGCTTTCAGATTAGTAAATTGTCTGACATTTCTTGCACAATGTAGATCTTTTTGTTAGGTTAAATTAACATTGCTAAATTATACAGTGCCAGATTTTCAGTTTTGCGTACTACATCTATCAGGGCAGGTCTGTACTGTGTGTAGTGCTGTTTACATTGTTGAAATTTTAGGCTGTAATAATAATTTTGAAGTTTTATACCAGGATGAATAGCAGTGTTAACTGTTAACTACAAATGCATTAATTCCAGATAATGGGGCTAGAAAAACAATGTAAGCAACAGCTTTTTGTAATACAGCTAACTCCCATTTTAAGCTAACTCTCAGTAAAGTGAGTCCAGGTTATTCCCCTTTTTGGTGAGTATTTAACTAAAGCTTTGCCTTTTGTTTATTAAACTATATTGTACTTGTCAGCCAATTGAGTGCAAAATAACACTTTATATCCAAAATCATTAATATGCCGCACACAACAGAGCAGCACTACCTCAGTTTTATTGGAAGTAGTTGTTCTTTATGAACTTTGATTTCTTTTGAAGTTGTATTTTCTTGGCTACATGAAAATACCTTTATTTGCCTAGAAGAGCCAAAGGTTCTGCTTCTTAACATTGGAAAACATTAACAAATGCATAATATTGCCTCCAAGGAAAACTGTGGTGTAACTGCTTTAACTTGTTTGACTTGTACTGAAAAGCATTATCAGCTTACTTGCCTGGCAAGTGCAGTATGCCTGCACAGGAACCACCTCTGCATTAATGATGAGAAACCAATTTTTTAAACCTATATTTAATTGCTAAACCATCGCTAGCGCTCCATATTCACTGGAGCAAAACCATTGGCACCTGATGACAAAGTGAATTTCTTAATGTGTTTTTAATGACAGCAGTGTAGGCAAGTCATTTTTAGATTGATTTAATTATGTTAAATAGGACTCAATTTATTATTTTTAATGACCTGTATTGGGATTATTTACCTGCTGAAACTGTTGTGATCTGAAAAGGGAGTTTTATTAACACTGGTTGAAATGGTTTTTTGGGGCAGTTTTTTTTGGTTATTGACGCTACCTTTTTTAAATTTTAGTATATCGGGTTTTTTAACACTTTTTGGTAAAAGGGATAATAGCTAAGGTTTCTGTCAAGCTAAACATTGGCACCATGTATATTTGATACACTTCCATTATACGTCTGTCTTTCAGACTAGCATTTCCAGGTCATAAAATGGCTTCTATTAAAAAAAACAACACACAAAACAGCAAAACCCCAACCAAATAGTGATCAATTTAGTCCATATTATGTAGCTGCTTCTGCTGTAGGATTTTTAAAGATAAATCCAAGTGAAGTCTTGCCACTGGCTCTGCTGACATGCAGTCCAACGCACATGCAGAGCTTCAAGGGCTCCCTGCAGGTGTCCCACCCACAGGGCCCTGGCATAATACTGGGGTGCCTGCGAATGGATCTCAGCATTGGATCTCTGGTTTAAGATCCTAATCACTAAACAGACCTGAGAAGCTAAAAGAGTCTTTAAAAAAAACAAACAAGCTCAGACTTAATCTTTTTCATCCACCGTTATGACAGTTCAGTGCTTTTCTAAGTGACTGTTAGGAACATGTGAAGTTGTCAGGGAAACAAGTGTAGGTCCTGTTTCAGGTGCAACTGAGGTCACCAACTTTCAGAAGAATTGCTGAGGCCTGAATTTGTTTTTTGATAGGTAAATACACCCTGAAACTTTACCTGCACTTGTATGTAGCTGTACCAGCTAATCCTCCTAATGAAGACAGTTATACCAGCCAGGCAGTGCTTTTGGTCATTATAGCTTAGTCTGGTTGGGTCAGCAAAATTGAGCAAAAACTCTCTTGCAAAAAACTGGTCGGGCTTTTGCTGGCACAGTTAAGATGCATCATACCCCAACAAACCCTGCTCTGCTGCCAAAATTTCTGCGTGTATCTGGTTTGAGAGCAAACGTGGAGGCTTTTTTTGTAAGTTTAAGGCTACACATGCATTCTGTTAGGGATTGTGTCTTGTCTAGTTTATTTGATCACTTCACTTCCTCCTAAGAGAACTCAGCGTGAAGACAGGCTGCTTAGTGTGTACTACTGCCTGTGTGTGCACACATACTTGTTACTAGCAATGCACATAATACTGCAGTGCATCCAGAAGTTAATTGCCATGAAACTCAAGTGCATTTTAAGAAAAATGCATTTATCTTGTGGTCTGGCCTGACTGTGGATTAGGACAAGGAGCCAAATGTATAGTACACCAATGCCTGACCATTCAGTACTTCTGTGGAGCTGCCCCTAGCACTCTACCTTGGCGAACAACCCCATATTCCACATGAAGGGGAGAAATTTCCTTTTTACAGTGGGATGGAGTGCAAATCTGGGTGGCTTGGCTCCTATGCTGTCCTAACAAAATGAAGGCTTTGTTCTGTCTGAGAGCCACCTAGCAGGAATCAGTTTGGGAGTAAAAAGCTTCTCACACTAGCTGAGTGGATTTTTCCAGAAAGGAGCTGTCATTTAATGTTGAGATTTAAATTCTTCTTTTAGCTTGACAAGAGACACACAACACAGTCAGGGCTGCCACTTTTTAAACTTGATATGGGCCGGGAATGACAAGAGCTAAGTGTAATGATGTGTTCTTGGGGTTGCGCAGCACTTGCACAATGGCATGCAGGAGGCAGTGTCAGTACTTGCTCTGGATTGTCTACACATCCAAACTAACTTGCTTTTTATGTCAGTGTATCACCCATGGGATTGGGGTTCTGTACATGTTTCTGGGAACCATTTGTTAACATTGGAGCCTTGGAAATCTGCTTGTTTAATGGTTGAACTGTGAATTTCTGTGGAATAGGCCAAATATTGACACTTTTTCATTTTTATATCTATTTTAATCTTGAAAGTGTAGAGGGGGTTATATGTGGGCATGATGCTGATCAAATTTTCAAAACCATTAGAATTATTTTTGTGTTACTCATTTGGAAAAAAACAACAGATAAAACTTGATGCATGAAATGAAACTGCTGCGTCTTGGGGTAAGTAGCTGTAGATATGCATTTTGACAGTTTTAGTAATATACTGGAAAACTGGTCTGAGATCCAAGCTCTGGCATTTTATTGCCTTCCCTTTCACACTTGATATGACTTGTGTGGACTTCAGTGCCCCAATCCTGATCAATAAATACTTGAGTTTGGACAGCTTCCCAGTAGTGTGGTTCACAACACCTTTTGAATTCAGCATCCCAAATGTGTTGAGGCCTGACCCTGCAGCTCCTTTGACTTTGTGGCAATACTCGCATGAGTCAAGATGCATGTAAGGATCAGCAGGATCAAGGCCATATAACTGCAGTCAGGACCATGGGAATGTATTCAAGGAGACTGTTGAATTTTGTGAATCTATTTGTTGCTAGTGATGTTCTAAATGGGGTATTTAATATGGCACCATTGTAACACAATAACCAGAGGAAAATGGAAAGCTAAGCCTCTGGTAGATCATTAGAAACAGTAACTTGTCAAACCTGAATTTTCCAAAATGTCTGCAAACCAGGAGTGTTGTCCTTGGTATTGATAGAATACTGTCAATATGAATATCCCATTTCCATAATATAAAATCTCTAACCTTCATTTACGAACAAATATGCAACAAAGTCCAACAAGGAAATGCTGTCTTGGTATTTAAAACTGCTTCACCTTTGACATCATGTTTGTCCACTGAAACAGTCTTTCCTTTTCATAGGCACTGACTGCCTTTTCCACTTCTAGGTCTTGCAGCCTTGTGTCCTAAAGCATGGTGTCAACAGTGCTTTCAGTTTGGGAACTCAACCCTGCGGCTCACTTGCAATGAAATGGGCATGTGAAAGTAGCCCTTTATGCTAAAAATGCACTTCTGGTGCTACATCCATCAGAATTCTTCATTTTACTGTTCCACTAAGATTTATTTATTGAAAAATAACTTGTGTAAATGCTGGATATCTGTTGAAGTTAGCTGTTAATTTAATGTCTGAGCCTCTGGATCCAGACGGTCGCTCTGCAATGTAAATAATTCACCAGACTCTGACACAAAAGGCTGTAACTCAATTCACCTTGTAGTATGTGGGCACTCATTAGATATACTGACCAGTTACTGTTCTTTTAGGATTCTGTCTGCATAACTGCTGCATCATTATATTGACATAAGTTTGATACTATCTGTTTCTTAAGTTCACTGCAGTATTTGGTATACTGCTAGTAGTTTGCATGTGACTGACCATTTCCAGGAATTAAAAAACCAACAACAAAAGTCCAGCTGCTGGACAAATTAAGGGCACTCCAGATGTTTTGTTCCAGAAAGTAAGAGTGATTTGAGCTACTGTGTGGTAAAAGGCTTTTGCCTGTGGCTCTTCCCTGTTGCGGCTATCCTCATGCAGAGGATAGTGAAAAGCCATTTCCTAAGAGTGAACTATAGACCTTTTTCAGTCTATTCCTTTGAAAATTATAATCTACAACACCATGAGGTAGCATTTCTTCAGAGGAAAAATATTACTCTCTGGTTCCATGTTAGGCTGCAAGTGCAGCATTTTTTGTAGTTCTGTTTAATTTAGCTTAAAAATCTATGTCCATCCTCCATGTCTTCCCAAGACCAATGCCTTGTTCAACACAGATTTATATTTTGAGCAAAGGTGAAAAACTGGCCTGATGCCATCTTCAGGAAGCTAACTCCTTGGTTTGGCAAATAATGCACTTGGCAGTCGTTTTCACAGGCCACAACTATCTGCTTCCCTGCTCAAAACCAATGTACATTTGATGCAGGTGTGGTTGTGCAAGACTTTCTCCAAACCGGAGTAAGAATGCCTTCCCTCAAGGGATGTGCAGCTCCTGCTGACCTGAAGCAATAGGCCGTGGGGGCTTGAAAGACTTGTCTTGCAAGCAGCTTGCCTTAAGCAATTGAATTTATAGCAGTTCTTCACTACTGTTGTAATCCTCTGCCTTTCCGGGTATTTGTTTTTATAAGCTTAAACTCCATGGGAGGCTGTACAATGTTTTTTAACTCCTACCTATGCATAATTGCACTCTTTCAAGAAGCCCTCTGAATATTTTCAGGAAACTTTATACACAGATAGAGGAAAAATATCATTCTTCAGTGGTCATGCTCTAACATGAATTTTTACTTAAGTTGTGTTTTATGAGCTAAGTTACCTGCTGTTGAATAAATATGTTTACTTGACTTTGCCATTCATGCAGTTACAGCTGCTGGTTCTTGTATTGCTGTCCTGGGGGTGCTAAAGAGGGCAGGTTGTGCATGACAGGTGACAATCTACATCTAATACCAGTAGAGTGCAAGGCTGGCTACTGATAGAGCTACATCTTATGCTTTCTCTTCTGAAAGGCTGTTTTAACCACAGATTGTGAAGGGATGGACTGGAAAGGGCGGGAGCAAATTGAGGCCATAATTCTGTTTGCGCATCCATCCTAAGAAAGCAATGCAGTTTGCAGGCTTGGACCCTCCATCTTCATTGTGAGTCCACATTGCTGCTACAGGCCTCCAGACTGATGCATCGCCGTGTATGCGAGGGGGTTCCAAGAACAAGGTCGAGGAAGCAGGTTGGGAGTGAAACAATCTGAAGAAAAGGATAATGGTGTAGTTTGTTCTCAAAATACTTAACATTTAGGTGGATCTGAGCCCAATATAGTCTTAATTTGCCCAAGAAGAATACTTTTTATATGGTTTATTTACCTCCAGGGAAATAATTTTAAAGCAAATGTAAATTTGTACAGCTTTGGACAGTCATGTGGCTTTCACCTAAGTCACATGCACGCTTCCTGGCTTAACTGAGCTTGGTTCTTTAGTGTGTCTAACTTTAGGTGTTTTACACAAGAAGTAGTAGGGGTTGTTGTCAAAGTTGGGGCAAGAATCGTGACAACTGCACCTCATTGCTACACAATATGCCTGCTGTCTTTCAGATTTGTCTCCCAAGCTGTCCAGTGTCCTGTCTCGCAAGGTTTTGCCACCGGGAAAGGATGAGTGTGGTGTCTGTCTCCTGTCTCTGGAGTCTCACTCTTGTAGGCAAAATGCTGTCTGAAGCACTTTGGAAACTGAATTAGGGTGTTTTTTACTTCATTGCATTTTCTTTTAAGGGTCATGGCCAATTTGATACAGTCAGTTCAGGAAAACTTCCAGGTCCTACACTTGCTAATTTTGAGTCCCTTTGCCAATATGTATGGCTTTACCATTACTTTCTTACTGAATTCTTTTAGCTGTTGTTGCTGTGCAGAAGTCCAACAGAAGAAATGTAAGTCTCCTAGGCCAAATGCTGTCAAATGCACAAAGCCAATGAAAGTGGAGGATCTTTGAGTCCTAGCAAATTTGTGTAGCCCTGAAGTTGACTGTGTCCTTTTTTATTTTTATTTTATTAAAATAAGAGCATTAAATGCAGCCTGGTTATCTTAGTTCACTTTCTTTTCACTAGTTCATCCATTGCTGACTTCTAGAACTTGGCAGATGTATAGCTAAATATTTCAGTGGTGTTTTTTTGTCTTAATCCAATGGGTTTTTCATCTAACCTGTGAGGTTTCTAAGGTAAGTTCTTTCGATTTTAAATTACTGATCCCTTAAAAAACCTTCAGTCACAGTATATCTCCACTACTGTAGGTTTGTCATTGTTTCACAGTCCCTTGATTTCCTGCATTCCAGTAAGACTCAGTCCACTGGAAAGGGAAGTTGCAGAATTGCTCTGTGCTTTGCTGAGCGAATGAGTTCCATTTGGGTGTTTGTAATGCGCACTTTGGTGTTCAGTGGTTTGTGTGTAAAGCTTTTTGTACAAATGTCTTATTTAAAGTCAAAGTCCTTTTTACATGAATTTGCAATTAAAGGGAAAACTTTTATTTTTTTTCCTATCGATAGGATTGTTGCCAGCATTATTTACTACGTCTACAACTTATTGAATAGGATCCTGGATGTTTTGTAAACTTGCCACTTTTGCACTAAGGTGACTAGCACTGAATCACATATAAGAAAAGCAAGCTGCTTATGGTGCAGCAAATGATTTGCAAGGATGTAGTGGTTGCAGGCCTTGCTGCCCGGGCCCTGAACTTATGAGTCTTTGATCCAATTTCCATTGGCCTCTGTGACTTAGGGCTTCCCTAGTCCCTCAGATGCGTTCTTGCATTGTAATAGGTTTTTTTTAGTATGGGTTTTCAGGTGGGGAGCTAGTTCCTATTATTTGCTGCTGTAATGCTGCGAATGAATTCATTCCTTTCTATAGCTTTTACAGGTTGGGGCTGCTTTTCTAAAAAGAGAAGGATGGACTTCACGTCTGCTCATAATGCAGCCCAAGGAGCAGTTTCAGAACTTCCTAGTCTCCTTGTTCTACAGTTAGAGGGAGCTTTTACATCGCAGTTATAGGCACAAAGTCTCTATATTAAACTGTACTCCAGTGTCACATTCAATATTGCTCCCTGGGAAATCTTCCTTCCCACTTAAGGCAGCAGAAGTAGCAACAGCCTGGTTTGTCTTCCATCTTTGCCATTATCTCTCCTTGGTTTCTTTCCTGCTGCTACTCCTAAGTTTTATCCCTCTTGCTAGGACCATGCAATTTAAGGTTGACACTTTAAATGGTGTTTCTGGGCTCTGGAATTTAGCAAGGTGTAACAGCCTCTTGTTATCACTAGCACTGCTTTACACCTGGTTCCTGGTGAGAACCTTCTAGCCTCATGACTAAAAATGCTTAGTTTCTGCCTAAAGCAAACACAGCTCAATGGATTTGGCCTGCATGCATGCTGTTTCTGCTATCTTAGTTGTCCTAGGTGGGGTTTTTGTCCTACTTCAAGCATAGTAAGGGTTATTGTTAACTCATTGGATCAAATAGAAGACTTCTGTGCACCATCAGTTGCAGGAGGTATAGAAGAAGATTGATCTGCGTAGATAGTAAAAATCTCTCTCAGCTCCTTGCAGTCAGTGGCTCCATTCATTTCCTTGCAAGGGAAAACCAAGTAAAATACTTGATCAGTAACTTGTATTCCCACATCTCTGGGGAAGAACAGAGAGGACAGTGTGGTGGGATGTCCCACTATCTACACAGACTCTTCTGGTTTACTTTTCATTTCAGAGGTGCTGCATTAAATGACATGGATGCTGCTAATCAGAAGGCAAGATGAGGATTTTTTGCCCTCTTCTAGAGAAAAGATGGCTTTGACTTGTACGTCTTAAAGGAAGAATGTTGCTCTTAATAGAAAACTTCCTTCACTGCTAAATAACATTTTTTGTTTGCTGAAGCCTGATTTTTTTTTTTTTTTTTTTAATTAATGTTTAGCAGCAAGTAGCTAAAGTGCAAGTGTGAACTGCTAAGTATGAATAAACTATCAGAAGAAAGGTAGAGCAATATCCTCTACTGTAAGAGGGACATAGCTGGGAAACCTACCCAAAAACTCCACTGTAGGCTGTCACCTTCTCCATTTGCAGCAGCTATAATGTTTCCCACTCAAAGGGATAGAGTGAATCAGGCCTATTTAGTGCCATCATGGCTTTTACTCCCTTCCTCTACAGACCAAGTTACAGAATGAAAATAGCCCAAGCTGTGTGAATCGCCAATTCCATCTTCCTAAGGACAAAGTGCTTTGCTGCGAACGTAATAGTTCACTGGACAGGCCCAAGTCCCAGAGCAGCACAGTTCTTGTGCCTCACAGGTACAAGCTGACAAACGGCCTCTCCTGCCAGTGCAAACGAGTTCAGCACTAACTGTTCAGCTGACAACTGCCTCTTCCTAACAAGTCACTTAACGGCATTAAATCTTTGTTTCATCAGAGCCATTCAGCTTTTGGGCAAACTGACTGACTCTAGCAACCTGCTTCTCTCTCAGCATTATCTGCTCACACAAACACCATCCCAAGCATTCAGTCTGGCTAGCTGCTGTGGAAAGCATGCCAAAACACCAAGGGTTAATGGAAAACATTTGCTGCTGTAACAGTTTTGAATAGCTTTTATTTTTAGACTTGATAGAATGTATGGGGGAAGCCTATTGTTCTTGAGGCACAAGATCATCATGAAGACATTAATATTTAAAGTTATTAAAAACATTAACAAAAGGCTGCTAAAATGTGGCAGTCTAGCACGTGCTCTTCCCGGCATCATCTTTTATTCCCATCAGGCCCAAGCCAGATAGTGATCTCTGTACACTGCAAGGCAAAGAAGAGGGGGTTACTTCTGTTTCTGAACACTAGTCAGTTCTCAGAACAGGCTAGCAAGCTTGACTCAAAGCTACCTTGTGACCTGCTGTAATATTAAAACATACCCAGGACCCTTGTCCCTTCTGTGGGGAAGCCCAAGAACTGTCAGGCCTCTTATTTTCAAATAAAAGCTGAGGCAATGGATAACCTGAAAGCTATGCAGTGGCTCAACCTTTGTTTTTGGTCTGCAGTTGTCATTCCCTTCACCTGGTCTGTTCTGCCAATGGCCCTAATCCATGTGTTGGTTCCTTCACCTTCTGTAGGTGGTAGCAGGCCTGGATAGGACCCTGTAGAAGTTGAGCCTGGAAGTGCTGAGTTAGCTGACTAGCTTTGGGCAGAACCAAGAGGGTGTGGAGAGTAAATCCATCCTTGACTTTGCACTGGGTCTCCCAGAGGATAAGGGGGGCTGTGCAGAGAAATCTCTTCACCTCTCCAGTTGAGCTGTGATAGGGAGCTAGGCCAGAGGTGAAGTCTTTCCCACATAACAGAGGGAAAAATACAGTACTAAATTCACAGCGACCAAGTAGTCAGTACTGTCTTTGTCCTCAGGTTGGTCTCTAGCCAAATAATAGCTCAGACGCACAAAAAACACTTGTACTAGGATCTGCAAAAGAAGTTAGTTATGAGAGGACCAGAAACAATTAAAAACAAAAAAACCAAACCCAAGCCTGTGAAGGCTTATCCCTGCAGACAGGCATCCCCAGTGGCTGATTAGGGTAATAGAATCTCCAATTTAGTTTGTACAGAAGGTGTAAACCTACCCTACCTTCTGCCTGACTGAAGACTAACACAGCTAACTACCTCTGTCTGATTAGGCTAATGCCATATTTCCTGTGGAGCTCAGCAAATAAATACACTCAGTAGGCTGCATCTATCAGTCAGCTTTTCTCTAGCAGGGCTAAGTTATTGCATGCAAAACATGGCAATTTGTTGGTACTGCTAAGAGCAGCTAAGCCAGTCTCTTTAAGGACACCAGAGGGGTTGATTATAAGCAATTGAAAAATAAAAGGAACTGAAACCCTGGTATTATACCAAGGTTAGGCAGGAGAGCTGCAAGCAAGGAGCCAGCCAGCCTCCCTACTGTTTTTGTGCAGCTGAGTGAGCAACCAATATATTGGTCAATTTGCATGACAAGTTAAGCTACTTTGCTTAAATGGAGGCTGAAAGGCACTCTCCTGGGCAGAAAGCCAAGGGCAAAGCTTAATTTGGCTAGAATGAAGAAAACTGAATGGGCTCTCCTGCTTCAGACTGGATCCACAGTCCCCTGAAGTCAGTGGAGAGATCCTCAAAGATGAGTCACGGAAGGGCTCTAGAATCCAAGCAGAGCCAATTAAGGCCAGAGGATCCTCCGGGTTCTGCTGCAATAGGTTCCCCTTTGTGATGCAATGTGTGTCAATAGCAGACATCCTGTATCTAAACAAAGCAGCTGCAGTGGGAATGCTGCAACTCTAGCCTGGAAACTTGAAAGGAAATGAAAGGACCTTGATCTGTGTTAACTACAGCATGCATTTGGTTTGGTGCATTTGGCTGAAGCAGCCTTCCAGGACAGCTCTCCTGGCTGATCCTTTTGCCGTGGGTCACAGAAGCCTAGCTAGACAGGTCAGGATTCATTCAGCGCTGCCCTGCCCCCTCTTGAATTCCAGTGCATGTACTTTTCTCTTATACCAATGCTGAACTTTGGTTTCTTCTCTGGATCTCTAAGGGAGTTGTGCCTTTCCTGCTGGCAACAGTGAATTGGAGAAAACAAAGCTACAGAAATCTGACAACCCTGGGTTCCTGAATGGAACAGGGGCCATTGAATTTGGGGAACAAAGGGAAGATTTCATTAAATAAGTAGGTGCCTGGCAACCTTCCCCTTGGCTAAAAATGAGATTTGATTATTTCTGGTTCATAATAGCAATGGACACTTTAGGTGTAAGCGGAATTTATTCTAGTCTCTTGGAAATGCTGAGAATCCATCCCAACTAACAGCATCTGACAAGCTGGGACTGAAATTATGCGGTGAAGCCTCATGAACAAGCCCAAGTCTTGTTCATCACTAGACAAATGTTCAGTGACTGAAGTAAAATGCAGGCTCCTGTATCAGCAGTAATGCTTCTTGACCAGTTTTAACTTTACCAGTAATCTAAATGCACAAGACTGACTTGCTGGGCGGCACATTTTTTTGACCTCTTTGTACAATATTTGTAAATCTTATTACCTGTTCGTGCCTGGCAGCAGAACGACACAAAGTGTATTATTCTGTAGGCTTCTATAAAGCTTTTTGATTCTGCAGTCTAACTTCTTCAGTTTTTCCCTTAGGTCTTGCTCCTGGGTCAGGCAGAACAAAATGGAGCTAGTATTAAGGCGCAAGACAGTAAGTTGTATCAGAAACAGATTCCTACTGTAAAAGGAGAAGTATGCTTATTGTCCATTAGGAAATACAGCAAAAACAACATGCAAGCTACCATTAGCTTAGTGATCTTTGGCAATGTGGATTCAAGAATCTGTTATTTTGTAGGTAGTCTCTTCATATTGGCATTAAAGCACCGTGACTACCAGTTAAGGGAGAATCATGGGACTATTGACCAATTGACTGCCACTTTCTCCAGTAAAAGTGAGACTAAAGCTAACTGGACTGGTTTGTTGTTTCAAAGGTTCCTGACTGCAGGATCTCTCCTCTTTTATGTCACCCTCACAGTACATAATCCTCTTTTTCAGTTCTCTTCCCCACCCCTTTTTCTCCACAGATATCTTCATTTTTAAAATAAATGTCTTTGTGTGTAGCAATACACTATTCTGATGTTAAACAGCACGTTAAACATCTTTCATATTGTCATGCTTTATAGCACTTTCCATCTTCAAACTGCCTTCACAAATATTAATCTCTGACAACCTATCTGCCACATGCTGAGGTAACCTGATTTTACACATCAGGATCTCCAGTTAATCTGGTCCACAGCTGCACAAAACCAATGACAGAGCTACAGTGAAAATATGAATCCTGGCTCCCGCAGCTCTATTCAGTCCACTATTGTATGGCAAGTAAAAAGCTAAGGAAAGAGTAGGTTAGGCTTTTAACTTACACACGTAGAGACTTGCTTCTTTTTCATGTATAGAACATTTTCTCTTTTCTGAAGCGACTGTGTGTCCTGGTGAGCTATGTGATTAATCCATTGGTTGAGGTGGCTAGGAGTGAGAGCTCTTCTGCTTCTCAGTTTGCTGCCCATAGTTGCCCATCTCTTTATAGCCTCGAGTGCACTTGAAGCACTTTCTGCAGTTTGGAATTCTTAAAAGAAACAAGCCCCCTAGGTCAGTGATTTATCTCTCCTCCTTCACCGCCCCCAAACGCACCCCAAAATGGCTGCTTACAGAACAGAGTGGCAGCTAACAGGCAAGATGCAGAATATGGGAGACCAGAACTAGAATCTCAAGAGTCCATGTGAGGAATACTGTCCCTGTAGAATCAGAGGCTTTAATCCTACTATCAGCTGTTCAGCCCTTCATCCAGCTCTAGGTGGGTGCACTACAAAGAATTCAACTTACTGGCTGAGTGTCTTGACACGATACTTTGCAAAACAGTCAGAGGAAGTTCAGTGTTGGAACCTGTTTGCATCTTGGCACCCATCTGGTTGAAGGAGATACTAATTGAGAGTGCTTGAACATTTTCAAAAGCATCTGTTGCTAGTGGTAAATTTAAAACCAAACAGTAAGATAAGAGGGGACTAGTAAATGCCTAGAAATGTTCCAGTAGCAACAGTGTGACAGGTTTGGAACCACATGGGTTGGGGGGGGCAATTCTTTTGGGCAGAGGGCTGCTTACTGAGTTTTGGCAAGCCATTGAGGGCTGCATGACAGGCAGCCAGGGGCAGATAAATATTAATTTTCTAATTTTTTTAGGGGCCCCGCAGGCCAGATAGAATGGCCTGGCAGGCTGCATGTGGCCCGTGGGCCGCATTTTGCCCACCCTGGTATAGTGGGAAGCTACTTTTCACACTACCACTGGCATCAGCTAGAATCCCAGGCACAAGTTATTTACAGAATGCAGGTGTCACATGCTACATGTACTTACTCAAGAAACAGTAACTTTGGCGCTTCCCATTTTTATGGTCTCTAGGCAAGAAGAGAGCTTTCAGGTCTTTCAGTTGACTCAATTTTTCTTGCAAGTCTGTCTCTGTTAGGCTTTTCTTTACTCCTGCCATATAAATCACCCTTTCATTTTCTACATCCATTTCCAGCTCCTTTATCAAGGTGTTGCAATCTAATGTAACTGCAGAGACGGGTCTCTGAACCTGGGGAACATTGAACAGGAATAGGTTTAACATGTCTGAGCAGAATCATGGACTGAGTGAACAGACTTCAAAATCAATGCTCAGGAATTCTAATTCTATTCGGAAATAGATGCATTTCTGGAGGCAAAAATAATCTAACCAATAAGTTTGTAGAATGAGAGAGATTACATCTGCATCCATATAAACCTTCCTCTGTTCTGGCACCAATACAGGTTAGTATTGGGACAGATACCTATGTTTGAATGCCTCAATTCTAATTAGGTGGTAAGAACCTATGATACAGAATGACTGAGTACATACATTTGAGAGATCACCACCAGACTGATCTCAGCAAGGCTGAGATGAGTTTTGAAGACATTGAAATGGCATAAGCACAAGGCCCCTTCTTAGCACTGTGCTTCTTGGAAACAGGAAGGGGGAACATGACTGCTCCAGCAGGTACTCCCAGGCACCATCCAACACTTGAGTTGTGTGCACCAGGTACATGGGCAGAGGCCACTCAGAAAAGACTAATCACACCAAGCTCCTGTTTTACTGTAGGCCTATATTTAAAATAACCTTTTTTACCATGTGTTTTCAATACCTTAATGCAGGATCCTGCAATCTTGGCTCCATTCAGACTCTCTAGAGCAAGCTGGGCAGCCTCTAGTACTTCATACTGGATACAGATGTGGGGCTTTAAAAAGGAAGCATCACACTTGAATCTCTACTGTAGTTACAATATCCCTTTCAAGTAAACTTTTATTGCACATTAGGAGGATGTCATGCTAACCTGTTACACCACATTCCACTTACATGCATCCTGGACAAGTGCATATTATGATTAACTGCAAAGTCCAACACCAGTCCTAGTTTTTCCCCTATGCATGCACAGCACATCTCAGCTATCTGCAGTGGGTGTTGGTTGCATGCATAAACAGCTTAACTGCACAGCATCTTTTGAACTTATTAGTTAGTTTGCAATATTAATCGTACTCCATTTAACCACATAACTGAGCCAGATGACATGAAGGGGGAAATAGCTGTCAAAAGGCTGATGCCAGAGGCCTTGACTCTGGTGGGATCTAGTTAGTTTTGGGGTTGCTAATACAACAGCGCTATGTATTATGGACTATAGAGAATCACAGGGTTGGAAGGAACTTCAGAGGTCATCTGGTCTAAACCCCTGTAAGAGTTATTATTTCTTAATAACTTACATTATGTTTGGTTAAGCAGATACTCAGGGAAAGTTTCAGTCCTGAAGCTATGCACTTAAACAGAGTATGCTATATGCTGTATATGTAACAGCCAAGATATACCTAGTTTATATTCTAATTTAATGAATTCGCAGCATTACTGTTGCACATTAAAGGCCTTCACATTCTCTCTTATTTGTAGAGAAGAGCAAGCTGGAATCTCAGAAGTTCCCCATTCCTGAGTATGAGGCTAAGATTCCTACCCTGGGCTCCTTAATGCTGTAGCTCCTCTGAAAGGCCACATTCATTAGAGATGGGTCCAACAGCACAGTTAAGCCACACTAGCTCTGTTTATTCTTGTCATTGCCTATAATGGCTTTTCCACACCAAACCCTTGCGGCTGCTGATTATACTGCCAAGCAAGGAGAACAACCAGTGTTTAATTTGTTCATCCCCACCCTCGACAAAACAAGATTACTGGAGAATCCCTGCTCAAGTCTCACTATTCACCTGGTGTGTTTCAGTGATGACAGTCAGTGATCGAATTGGACCATACTTCTTAAATTCTTTCTTTACAGACTTCAGGCAGAAATCTTTACCAAATGGGCCTGCATAAAGAGTCAGCAAGTCACCCAGCTTGATTTTCATCTGTAGGAAAACAAATTTAGTGTAAGGATTTTACTGACCAAAGTTGAAAGGAACTGATTCTCTCTCTCAGCTCAACATCAAAGAACTTTGTGAGATAAGCATGTTACCTTTTCACAAATATCAGCTATGAGGGCAGGTACGACATGCTTTGAACGCAAACTAAACTGAACGACACTGAAGGAGGACAGGGGAACTTCTTCTACGGCTCTCTGAAGAATCTACAAAGGGGGGAAAATTCACATACAATAACTGTCTAGAGGCTGCAACAGGGGACAGAAACTTCTAGTTACAATCATAGAAAATTGGGGTTGGAAGGGACCTCAGGAGGTCATCTAGTCCAACCCCTTTGCTGAAAGCAGGACCATCCCCACCTATATCATCCCAGCCAAGGCTTTGTGTAGCCAGGTCTTAAAAACCACCAGGGATGGAGATTCCACAACTACACCGGGATTCTCATTCCCGGTTTTGACTTTCACATTGACTGCCCTGAGGTAAGTCACTTTATCTCTGTCATTCTTGTTTCCTGCTTTGCAAAATGGACACACTGCAGGACAAACCAGTACCCCAAAGCATTTCTAAAGATGACAAACTGACTTAGCTGGTGAGGTATTGGGACTTTTGCTCAATATTAACTAATACCCAACTCCTTAAGTGTAAGAAAAACATGCTTGAGAATGTGAAGAACTCTGACAATTAGACACACATTGGCAACAAACTTCTCTAAGTTAATTCACCTGTTTGTTTGAAGGTCTCTGGCCATTCTGACACGAACCAGGGGAGGCTAGGTCCCGTCCACCCAAAAGGAGGGTTTTTTGGCCAGCCAAGTGCAAAAAATCTAAAAAACTAACAAAAAAAAATGCAAGTCAAAGTAACCGAGTACTAAACTTTACATTTAGTACAAGTTAGAAATCTTCAAGAAAAGTATTTGTTGAATTCAAATATAAAGGTTTTGAAAGGTTTTTAAGAACAAAATTAACTTGTCGTGGTCTGAAAACAATTATCTCTTGTTCTGAATACAGGGGGAAGGGGGAAAGCTTGCATGTGGCAGCCACTGTCTCCGCCACCTACCACCCTGTGCTGCC